TGGGCAGGAAGAGAAAATAAACAAAGCAGAAAGTTTTTATAAAGTGAGTGGAGGCAAATACTGACATTTTTTTTAAGGTTTTTTTTGTTGTTGTATTTTTGGGGGGGAGGGGTTGTATGTGTATGGGTTTTGTGGGTTTTTGGGGTTTTGTGTTGTTTTTTTTTTAATTCAGGATCAATCTACTACTAATAGTTATGTTACTAATTTCTTGTTACCCTAAGTAGCAAACATGTGAATATACTGATTAATAGGAGACTCAGAATGCCAGCTTTTGAGAAATGCCTCCGATCACCTGTGATGATTGGCTTGTGTATGAGTTGCAGTCATTGTATGAGTTATGTCCTGAAGCCTAGTTCCAAGGGCATGATTCATATTGACAGTCCTCCTTCCTACATGGGATGTGACAATAGTGGATTTGGAGGATCAGGCCATGCTGGGGATGGGAGCCAGGATAACTGAATCTGCTTCTGCCTTGGACACCAGCAAGGCAGTGTACGAAGTGGAAGAACAAGCAATTGCACAGAATTAAGTATATTCTTGTGACTGTTTGAACCTCTTCAGAAGAAATAAGAATAAATATCATCTTACATTATCCTACATTATCTTACATTATCTACATACCTTTCCATGTTGAGTACTTATCAGCAAGATCCAAGTATTTTGAACATTTCTATTTCCCTGTTGCATTTGGGATCAAATAAAGATAATTAGATCCCACCTGCAGCATTAAAATGTACTTAACACAGTGTGGCTCAGCAGAGGAATGAGTGATTTATTTGTAAATACTGTGTTCATTAATAATACTGCATTTATACTTAACTTTTATGTCGACCACACAAAAAGGTTGTTGAAAGGTTGAATCCTTCTAGTGTACCTAAATATTTTTGATAATTTGTTATTTTAATATAAAAAGTATTTTATTGACCTTTTTCAGTTAAATCAGAGATTATTTTTTCTTTTTAGTTTCAATATTGCACGAATCAAGATGTAATAGAAATTCCTCTCTAGCAGACAGCTTCTATCACAGAATCATTCATCTGTACTCATTAAGTAAATTATGCTGTTACTAAATGGACACAGTAGCAGTAATACAGTAGCAGCATAGGAGAGATTTATCCATAATCCAGGACTGCAGCACAGGCTGGTATCTATCCACCTGGGGAGCAGCTCTGTGGAAAGGGACATGGGTGTTCTGGTGGACAGTAAGCTCAATATGAGTGAACAGTGTGCTGCTGTGGCAAGAAAAGCCAACAGGATGCTAGGCTGCATCAATAAGAGAATCACCAGCAGAGATAAAGAAATCCTTATTCCACTCTACTCGGTGCTTGCCAGGCCACACCCAGAATGGTGTGTTCAGCTTTGGTCCCTGCTATGCAAAAAAGATGTGCTGGAGAGGGTCCAGAGAAGGGTCACAAAGATGATCGAAGGACTGGGAAGCCTGTCATGTGAGGAAAGGCTGAGAGAACTGGGCTCGTTCAGCCTTGAGAAAAGAAGGCTATGGGGACACCTTATGACCATGTTCCGGTACTTGAAGGGTGTCTACAAAGATGGTGGAGACTCCCTTTTTACAAGGAGTCCCATGGGAAAGATGAGGGGTGCAAGTTACTCCTGGGGAGATTCCAATTGGACACAAGAGAAAACTTTTTCACGTTCAGAACAATCAGCAATTGGAATTATCTCCCCAGGGAAGTGGTGGATTGCCTAGCACTGGAGACTTTAAAGATTTGGCTGAAGAGGATGCTGGGCCGGCTTGCCTAGATGGTGCTTTTGCCATGGAAGATTGAACCAGATGATCCTTGAGGACCCTTTCAACCTGGTATTCTATGATTCTATGATTGTATAAAATCATCTTAAATTCAGCCTTAACCTTCTTAGCCCCCTCACACAAATCACAGGGGTGTTTGAGACAGGATAGGGAGATGTTTTTGGTTAGTTCGTTCTTTTTGGGAGAAATAGGTGAAGGTATGCTATAATCTACTTTCTTCCAGTACAGTAAAAATAAGAACACTTATCCTTGGTAAACAGTGCCAAGAGAACTCTGTTCTTAATTAAAACCCATTCCTCCCTCCCCCACAGTACCTAATATATTTGACTGAATCAAGGACTGTTTTGTCTTCAGAAAGAACGGTTTGAAGAAGTGTAAGGAACACCTTGTTAACTGAAAGATTGAGTTAGATGTAGATTGAGATTTAGACTCTAAGTAACTTTATTTGGATCCCTTGTAGAATGATAGAATGATTTTACTTTTTTTTAATTTTAAAAGGCTGAATGGTGTTAATCTGCCATCAAAACTGAAGTACCTACAGTTCAAAAAGCCTTCATTACAGCTGCATTGACATCTAAATATGTAGGTGTCTGTAGTGAGGGATTTAAATGCCTGAAATTCTGTCTGCTCAGACAGCACTGCTGGTTTAGCTTCTCTTCTGCCCCAGTTCTTTTGGGATCGTGACATTAAGTGTTCCTGCTCATTAGCCCTTGTACAGATCTCTTTAACACCCATCCTTGGAAGTGAGTTCAGCACATGGCTATGGCACGCTAATCACCAACTGTGTAGGAACCAGGAAAAGATATGGAGTTGGTTGTTGAGAAGAAATCTGAAAACTGCCAGGGCAAGAGGCAAGCATGAGAAGTGAGTGGGAGAGTAACGCAGTGGGAAAAACACTGGGAGGTGAAAAGCGGTGCAGAAGAGCTAACAGATCTGTGAAGGGTACAGAAGATGTTGAGATTAAAAGGAAAGCTAATATAGGAGAACTGTAAGCTAATGGGAAATGGGATTCTGGTTGTGGGGAAGGAGCAATATATTGTATAATGAAGTTGATGAGAATGAAGCAGTTGCTGAAAAGAGGCAGAGGGGCAGGACTGGGATCACAACTAGGAAACTGAGCCTGATGACAAAGAGTGTGATGGGGGTGGTGGCACATGTCCACAGGATTGGCAGTGGTAGAGCTTGGATGAGAGAGTTTCGAGGGAGACTTAAGTGTCTGCATTGAACAAGGTGGAGCTTCTCCTTTCCAATAGTTACTGTTTTAAAAAAGCTGGAAGTTAAACCAAGCTCAGAGAGTTGCCTTGAGTAAAGTTGTTAAGAGTTACAAAGAACAAGTGCTGCAAAGCTGGGATGGTGAAGAATTAAGATTTTCTAAAATATGTTAACTGAGCTTCCTTGGACATATGCGTTATGATATAGTTTTATATCATATGATTACAGATTTGCATGGTCTTTTTAAGTGGAACAGAGGTGTATGAAGACTGCAGCAAAGTAGACAGGTCTTTGAAAACTTGCTTTTATTTGTTGTAGATGGCGGGGGCAGTGCACAACAAGCCAGGAAAGATGTGCGTCACCTTAATAGGCAGCCAGATGAGTACAACTTCCCCAGGAAATTAGTTTGAGGCTAAGTAGTCTGATAAATGAACTTTAGGAATCTGGTTGAACACTGAAGTTTGTAATGCTTCTGATTCAGAAGTTTCAATCTTGTCTATGGGGATCATATAACCTACCTTGCAGGGGGCTGTAATGCAATCTGTTGTTATCCTGACAGCACCAGAGAGGAGCTCTGTCTGGAAACTGGCATTTCTGTGCTCAGAGTGCTGTTCTGGAACAGCACAGGATGACCCAGGGCAGGTAACATACAGAGCTGTGCTGTGACCACGTGTAATGCAGTCAGTGTGTAGATTTCCAGTACTCTCTTCTAGCTACTGTATTCACTGAATCAGGTCCTGTAAAAAAAAAAAAAATTCACGTCATCACCTAGTAAAAAGCCAGTCAGACGAGATTTGAACAAGGGGGCCCAATTAACTCCAAATCTTAAAAAAAATTAAAACCAAAAAAAGAACTTCTGAAGTGCTTTCCTTAAAAATGTGTTAGTTTCCACCTCATTGGACACCTGTCCTGTATTAAGATTTTAGGGTTGTTGAAAATGTTGATGTTTGTATATAGCTTGATGACTTCTGTTTCTTTAAATGGCATGCTTTCCATACATTTTTCCTGGGAAAATCTGAATGCACAATGTGCAAAGAAAACATAAAAACTAGGAAGCATGGTTACAGTCAGTTTTTTAATTTTCCTTGACTTCTGGTAATATCTTCTTTGAAAGATTGTACCTTGCTTAATTTTCCAATTATATATACTTGCATGATGGAAAAGATGAAAAATAATTTTCTTTTAATCTGATGTAATTACAGCTGTATTTTAGGGGAACTAATTCCATCTTATCTTATTATATTCTGACCATGGTCAAAAGTAAGGCTGCAATTACTATTTAAAGAGACTAGTTTCAGTGGTTGTGTCATATCAAATGCATTGCTTTTCTACTCTGTTATTGTTAGATGGAGTGCTCTAAATTAGATGGTCTAATTCTGGAAGATTTGAATACATGCAGGTGGACTTTTGTGTCAGCAAAGCTACACTTGTTTAATTGGAGCTCCATATGTCTGCAAAAATTGATTCCATATGGTCAAATAGCACATTTTTAAAATGTTTCTTTGATTCATACTACTGCCAGGAGAAAGTAGAATATTTTTTAAGCTCCTACTTAGCTAAGTGACAGTACACCTGTACACAAACCTTCTTTCGCGTTTTAAAGTGTTAATTGAATATGTAGGATTTTCCTGTCATGTGTTAACATTTTTGAGGTAGCTTAAACCTGTGGCTGACAAAGGCTTAACTGTGTGCTGTCTGTTTGTACTCATAAAAACAAGTGATGAAATATACTTAAATCATGCAATCCCACCTTCTACTGGGTTGAATTTACATTTCATTTAAGGTCGTGCTGAGTCTAAAAAAATATATATATAGAACTGGTCAAATAAAACCCAGTCTTTTTACATGGGAGAAAAAAGCTTTGAGTTTGCTTCTGGTTAAGCAAATTGATGGGGAATAATCCTGTTAGAAAAGCTGGATATCTGAATTTTTAAATTGGGGCCATAAAAGTTGATATAATCAAGAGATGAACTAATAAGAAGTTATGCAAATTAATTTTTTCTTTGTTTTTTACTGTACACAGGTACCTAAGGATAAAACTGGCCTGAAGGGAAAATCTGGGGGAAACTGGGGAGCTTGACTGTTCTTGCACCTGAGTAAGTGAATGCTTAGCTGAAAATCAGCTTTAAAAAGTGTTAGAACTGTTAAATGTTCTTCAGCATCTCCACGCCTAATCTGTAATTTGAGACAATACTTTGGCTTTTGAATTGATAGAGACTGGAAGAACTACGACTAGCTACAGGGAGGGAATGTTGTGTAGAGCCTCTAGTGCTTTGCAGTAGGTTTTCCTTTTATTCTTGCCCTTAAAGCCTCCATAAAGTGAAACACAGATTATAAGCAGGATTTCTTGGTATTTTGATGCTTCACCTTTTTAGTTTTTTATCTTCAGACTAATTCCTGAGTTTCTTAAGGTTAAACTTGATCTTGCTGGTTTGTATTCAATAGTAAGGCACTTCAGCAGAACTGAAGTCCTAGGAATGGGCCAGGTTAGGTATGAGGTCATCAGAGGGTGAAGGCTGAGAGTGACCTTGTGGTAGCCTAATACAGTTGTCTTGCAAAGGGTGAATGCTTATTCCATGGTTTGTTTTTTTGAGACAGAAACTATTACCTGGGTTGAGTTTGCTTCCGCTAAAATAGGACAGGGACAGCTTTTCTTCATCAGTTGGACATGGCACATGGCAGACATTCCTAGGGATCTGAAGGACCCCAGTTCCAAACTCAGGCTACGCAATTTTCTGAAACGACAGAAAAAAATATTTTCCAGTTATCCACCTAGCTTTCTTTCCTGGCAATCCAATGCTTATTCTGTTTACAAAAAATAATTTTACATGTCAAAAAGGTACTTTGATGTATTACTTATTATTTAATGTATTTATTTAGTCATACATATTCATATATGGCATACATGTAATATTAATGAGTAGATAAATATTGTATGGCATGAAACTTCTTTCTACTGGTAACGTATTTTTAAAAATGGACAAGTTAATTGAGTTTTCTGAAACAATTGCTAGAGCTGGAGCCTTTCTTCCTGCTGGCATTTATCACACTAAAAGAATTATCTTTGGTTTTGGAAAGCTTCAGTAAGTTGAATATCCTTACTGGTATCTGCATTAAATTTTACAAACAATACTTACCAGTCGAGAGTCTCTCAATTTAATCTGGTCTAAACTTGTTACCAATGCTGTTTATTCCAAATGTGCTGTGGTTTAATAATATAATAATTATATTCTTGTACGGAGTGCACAAACTTAGAAATTGATATGTCTGCCTAAAAAATACTCATTTTGCTAGAGTATTTACTGTGTTTATCTTTGCAGTAGCGTAGTAGACAAAAAGGTCTCTCGTTGCTTTTGATATTAAAGAGAGTTAAATATACAACTTAAAAATATGCCAGGCTTTGTGAGCTATACATGCATAAGACTTCAAATTCATTTAGAAATGCACCATAGCAGCATTTAGCATTATCATTCTTTGATTTGTAAATTAGGTACTGAATCACAACTAATACCTGAGACTATTATAAGTAAATGGTTGCCTTCCTGTGCATTAGTAGTTCTCACTGAAATTCTAGTTCCTTGTCTTGCACTCATTTTGTATGGTTTTAGGAATTAGTCTGTGGAATAGCAAACTACTACGTGTAAGGTTTATTAAGGAAAAGAAGTTCAGTGTTCTTAAATAATAATGGCATATTTTGAAATCACAATTGGCTCAACAGCTCTGTTTTAAATCCAGCAGGACCTTTGAGAGAGGGGTTTGCCTTGTTTCTTTTAACTTCTATACTAACATGCAGCAAATGTTTTCATTTATTTCCCGTGTTATCAGTCCTACTCTGCATATTTTAGTCTATTGCTTTTGACAGTGATGAAAGGCAGGTATTTTTTGACCTTTTGTATTTTGGGTGCTTCATAAGCTCAGCTGTTCATTTGGGGAATATTTTCTCTTTCGGAATATTTTTCTTCTCTTTTGTTCCTGTTTCCTTGTTTGAAAGGCAGCACTAGAAATTCCAGGTGCAATGGTAATGTTTCTGAAATTACAGTTTAGATTTTGTGCTTGCGTACATGGGACAGGAACTTGGCCATACAAAAGAAAGGCAGTCATCTGCTGGGTTTGAGGATCTGTAGTGACTTCTGCGTTGACAAAGATATCATGTCAGTGTTATGTTGCTTTTTACTTGAAAATTGTCCTTAACTGTTGTTTAATAAAGCAGAAGTCAAGAATTACTGAACTAGGAGAGGAGGATAATCCAATTGAATTGTGTAGTCTGTTCCTTTATGAATGTAGGATTGATCTCTAATTTAGGTGTTTTATCCAGTTTATTTTTTACCAGTTACTGTAGTTACTGCATCACCTACGGATTTTCTCATTCAGACTTGAAATTGAGTGCCTTGGGGCAAGATTTTCTCAATTAAGCATGAAAATGAACTGGCCTTGGTTTTGAGAGCATCCTGTGCGTAGCAGTTCTTGTGCCTGGTGTTCTGGAAAGATCAACGGGTTTGTGCAAATCTGCATCTGGGTTTGAAGCAAGATAAACATATCTGTGCTGCAGCCCTCTGTGTGCTGCATTGTGCTCTTTTTCAGGGATTGGTAGGTATTAGTCCATCCTGAATTTAGAGACTGAAGTGAAGCCAACTGGTACTGTTGCTGGAGCCTGTTGATACTGTAGGATGAAGCTCTTCAGCTTCTTTTAGCAGTTAATTGTAAATCACAGTGTATGGTTTCTGACAGCTTTTAAAGATGTCATATGCTCTGCTGTTCATAGTCTGGAAATCTCTGGGGGTTTAAAACTCTCTACAGTATCTCTCTCACAGAGATCAATTAAGTTTCTAATTAAAGCTGTATCAGCCTAGCATCTACTGAAATCTTAAAAGAGTTGATGTTAAAATAAATATAGTAGGTTTTTTAATCTTATGAAAAAAGAACTTTTGAGGATTATTGGGGGGTTTTTTTTATATTTTTGAGAGGGTTTCTTTGTTATTCACAAAGTGGTGTTTGAGTAATGGAAAGCTTCAGTTGCTGAAATTTTTAATGAAGAGAAGCCAAACAAATTTATTTAAACAATTTTATTTATTAAAATAGCTTATTCTCAGACAGCTAACAGAACTGTAGTTGCAACCCTCCCTCATGCTTTCTGCCTTTGAAAGACTACTTATTTTGATCAGACCTAAAATGTTGATGAAATTATATCTCTCTGTTTTGCCTGAAGTCAAGTGTCACACCCTTTCATTGATGTTTGGAAAGTTGTATATCACTACATTTGAAAGGTACCAAAGTCCTGTGGTTGGCCTCAGCATTAAAACACATAGACGCTTCTGCTTTATGGGGCTGTAAACCAGATAATTCATCACTACTGACAATCTGGAGGTAGATGTGGGCTTTTAAAGAACAATATATTACAAATTCCTTTGGAGGGGGAGTGTTTGTTTTTAGGGATTCCTGGAGAGTGGAAGCCTATTATGGTGGTATTGTGCATGTGATAAATCATGTACTTTGCCTAGGTTGGGGTTTTTTTCCTTTTTTTTTTTAAGGTCTAAGACCATTCAAACATTCTGTCATAATAAGAATAACAAGTAGTATCCTCTCTACAAACACCGAAGAGAGGTAGAAACATTTTTTTTATTTTCACAGTGTAATATTGTCTCTATCTATATAAATAAATGATAGTGTGTCACACAATTCACATGAACAGCAGTGCAGCTGTATTGCTGTTGTCTGCCCAAATAACAAGAAGTGAGAAGGAAAGAGGGGGTGACAAGGGGGATATGTATTGGAGATGGGCATTGCGGTATGAATAAATTGACACTGTGGTTTTATGGGGGGGGACACTCATTACAGGAGGCTTCATCTGTTTGCTGCTTCCCATATTTAGAAAGCATCTTTAGTGATCCTTTTTGCAAACCAACTCATGCAGTAACTGGCAAAACAGAAGCAATTAGTGGTGTAATCTCAAAGGGAATCTCAAGCTTCACTCTAAGTGCAATGATTAAATCCACTAAAATGATAACCATTGCTGCCAAGAACTCCTGTAATTGGTCACTAATGTATTTTGTTGTAGCAGTCGATAACTACTGCATTTCATGCACGTAATTAGTAATGCATACACGTTTGGTCAGTAAAATTGAAAATCCTGATAACCGAGGGTTGAGAGGGTGGGAAGGAACATAGAGCTGCAGAACTGAAATACTGCTCTGTTGATAGTACCTAACTAGAACTGTGTGCTTCAACAAAACAAGTGTCCTACTGTGCTGGAATACAAATGGGCTGTCTGTGGCAGGATATAGCAAAGACATTTGGCAGAGAGGGATTTGAAAGCTTCTGGCATAATGTAATTGAATTGGCCATTTCTTTAAAGATACAGCAAATTGTTTGCTGCAGCATTCATCATCATAAGGAAGGTCAGACAGCTTGCCAAACATATGATATTCATAATAAAAAGTAAAACGGTGACGCTTATATTTAAACACAAATCATGTTATCATGTTTGTAAAATCTGGGGAAACGAATGGGAATATTTTTGGTGGCGCTGAGGCGTTAGTAATCTAAGTAAGACTGTAATTCAAGAGGGGGAAAGCATATAAGAAAAGACCCACAGGGGAATTCAGCTACTGAGCAACATGGGATCCCCCTGATTTGAGAGGGTATTAGGTGTTTTGGTAGGATTATTGCTGACTTTCTCTTCTGATCACTTAAGGGAATATTAGCTTGTATGATCCTATTTTTCCCTTTTAAGAAAACAAAGGGAAAAATAACAAAGAAGGACTTAAGTCTTCAGAAAGAGACAAAATTTGAACTGAAGCATTGCTGGGGGTTTTTTGTTAGTTTTACTGTGACAAAATAAGCTGATGCAACAACCTGTAGCCTATCTGAAATGTGATATGAAATGCTCAGTATTGGTACACTGGGAAACCCCTCTCGAGTCACATCCAGAACACTGAACGTAAATTGCACGGTGACGGGGGCTTTGGGCCATGCAGTGATGCCTCTGCAAATGAGTAGCTGTTAGCTTTTAGGTTCTAACACATTCAGGAGACTGGCATTTTGATTTCTTGCACCACTGCACCACTGATAGGGTTGGAAATGGGAATCAAAATAATTA